CTCTCTCTCTCTCTCTCTCTCTCTCTCTCTCTCTCTCTCTCTGGATTTTTGAGACAGGGTTTTTCTGTGTAATAGTCCTAACTGTCCTGATACTCTCTTTGTAGACCAGGCTGTGTAATATTTCATTTGCACTTCAATAAATAAAGCTTGCCTGAAGATCAGAGAGTAAAACAGCCCCACTGGTCAGCCTTACATGTCTATAATCCCAGTGGTACACGCCTTTAATCTCAGCCCTAGAGAGAAATATAAAACAGGAGGAGAGTCCCGGAAGCCAACTCAGTCCTGGGACACCGGTGGACCAGGATTGAGCTAGCTAGCGATCTAACTCAGAGTCAGCGATCTCCTCCGGAACCGGAGTGGGACAGAACCAGCTACCTAGGACAGAGAGCAAACAAGCTCCACTGGGAGCAGAAGCCAGGAGCAAATCCAGTCCTGGGAGCCAACCCAGTCCTGGGAGCCAACCCAGTCCCAGGAGCCAACCCAGAGCTAGGACACTGGCAGATCAGGATTGAGCCAGCAACCAGATCCGGAGTCAGCAGCGATCTCCACCAGAACAGGTTCAACTCCAAGCCAGAGACATCTGCAGGAGGAGATCCAGACCAGGATTTACAGAAACAGGGCAAAGCCGGCAACCCTGAGACAGCAAACTGCAAGGAAGCAGAGCAAAGCGCAGGAGCGCTGAGCTATCTCCAAGAACACCAAGTAACCAACGGGGTAACTAGAACTGTGACACTGACTGTACCACAAGGAACAACCATCTGAGCTTTGGATTCTCTGGCACCTAGAAGATTATTCAACAGAATCTCAGACAGCCCCAACCACACCTATTAGAGGAAAAGATGAGTAGACAAGGTAAGATCACACGCTACATCACAAAGAGCAACACAACACCAGTAAAATCTAAAGACCCTACAACAGCAAGACCTCAACAACCAAATATGGATGAACCAGAAAAAAATGACCTAAAAAATAACTTCAAGAGAATGTTTGAAATTTTTAAAGATGAAATGAGAAATTCCCTTAAAGAAATTGAGGAAAAGAAAAACAAAAAATTGGAAGATATCAGCAAATCACTTAAAACTAAGAAAAAGAAATGAAACATATAAAAGAAACTATTCAGGACTTGAAAACTGAAATACAAACACTAAAGACAGGAGGAGACAGCTTTCATCTCAGTCTCATTCTGAGATTCCTGGAGGCAGGAGGGCCATTTCAGACTGAGGTAGATAGAGGCTGGCCTTGAACTCACAGAGATCCGCCTGCCTCTGCCTCCCAAGTGCTGGGATTAAAGGCGTGCACCACCACCGCCTGACTTTCAGTTTTATTATTAAAAATGCATACACGGCGGGCACTTCCTTGCTATTTTTACCCTCCATGATTTGGGCCGTTGAATGGATGAGGAAAGGAAAAACTGATGGCAAAATCTACTAGAGTATTCAGTGATCTGTAAAAACAAGAGCAAGCATGACATCAGCCCAGATCGTCTCCATGTGCGACTTCCACGGCAGCCAAGATCGTGCTGGTCTGAGGATGGACCGCTTTTAGAATAATATTGTTCCTGATTTCCCAGTCTTTTTTACTGCCCTCACTTATAAAGATGCTGGCTGTCACCATGAAGGAACTTCCTCTATGGAGTGCTGGGAATTCTCTACCGCATCTTATGACTTCCACAGTCTGCCCACATTCCTTGCTCATGGCTCCAACTTCTGCTTCTGGGTCACACCCTCTCTGACTTCAACTTCCTTTCTCCCTCTTTTTCTTATAAAGGCTCCTCTGATTAAACCAGGCCACTTGGATCTTCTAGAATAATTCTCCCTGCTCAAATCCTTCACTTAATTATATCTGCATTCCTGCCCCCCCACACACAGGCTAGGAGATTAGAACATAGATATCTTTGGGGCATCGTATTTAAAGAAAAATGGGGCTGAAAAGGCTTCAGGGAGGCAACTCACACTTTCCTAACTAGTTCTCATGACTGTTCATGCGAACAACATTATGGGGGGCGTCATAAGAGGGTGACACCTCAAGGCCAGAGCAAGCTCCCATTAAACCCATGTGTTGAAGGGGGTTTCTGTCACACCCCATACCACCACACTGGGTGCCAGGCTTCTACTACAGGAGACCTTAGGAGACAAGCCACGTGCAAGCCACAGGACCCTTCAAGCCTTGAAGAGAGATTTCCCATGTTCATGGACTGGAGGAACTAGCAATACTGTTAAAATGTCCACACTAGCCGGGCGATGGTGGCGCACGCCTTTAATCCCAGCACTCGGGAGACAGAGGCAGGCGGATCTCTGTGAGTTCGAGACCAGCCTGGTCTACAGAGCTAGTGCCAGGACAGGCTCCAAAGCCACAGAGAAACCCTGTCTCGAAAAACCAAAAAAAAAAAAAAAAAAAAAAAAGTCCACACTAGCCTATGTGACCTAGAGATTTAGTGGTAATTCCTTCCAGAATTCATTTTTTTTTCACAGAAATAGAAAAAAAATCACCCTAAAATTCATATGGTGCCAAGGACCTTGAACAGTCTGAAGTGTCTTCAGAAAGAACAAAGCCAGATGTGCAAATGAAGCCAGATGCTCAAATGGAGCCAGATGCACCCCATTTCAAACTGTCCTACAAGGTTATAATAAGCAGAATGGGATGATACTGGTATTAAAACAAGCACATGAGCGGGAGAACAGAATGTGAGCCCAGAAATAAACCCAAGCACATGTTGTCGATTAATCTTCAACAAGGGACCAAAAATGCGCAGCAGAGAAATGAGTCTCTCTTCAGTCCATGGCACAGAGACACGCAAAGCAGTGAAACTGGCCCCTCATCTTACATGATAGACAAACCTGATCTCAAAGCAGATTTGTTTTAGTTACGTGTATGCATGTGTGTCTGTGTGGGGGTCTATGCATGGGAGTGTGGGTGGAGTCTCGGAGTCCCCTTCCCGCTCTCTGATTAGTGGGAACCAGGGATGGGAAGGAGACTCAGGAGAGATGGTCAGAAGTCACAAGAGCCATCTCTGCCACAGTACAGAGGGGCGGAGGATATGGGGGAAGCACAGGCACCATGTGACCTACAGTGGTCTCTGGAGCCAGCTTCTGAGGTTACCCAAGGAGTTGGACCCTGAGGTGGAATTGCTCCTGGGAGCTAGAGGTTCTCTCTGTCAGGGGACAAATCTACAGCGGCCTGGCCCCACACCCGCCATAGCCCTCAGGTCTCAACTCCTGCCTTTGGCCAGCTGCTCCCTTGCATTCAGCCAGGAACCTGGGCAGCCCCTTGGCCTGAAAAGGGGCCCCTGCATAGGGCTCCCACAGAACCTGCTGTGATTTGAAGCCGTGCCTGCATATCAGTCTCCCCCCTGGCCAGATGCACCCGAGGTTCCCACAAAGGCCCCTTGTTTCTGTGGCTTGAAATCTAAGAGTTTAAGAGGTGACTGGCAAGTAGAAACCTTCAGAGAAAGCCCTTTGCTTGCTTGTTTGCACAAGGTGGCCCTTTGCCAAGCAGAATGCCCCTGAACTTCCTGAGACCCGAGGTTCCGGGAGGCCTTGTCAAAGCCCTCTGCAAGGCAGGAACCCCCATAGCACCTGCCCCACTAACACTAAAGAGCACAGCAGGATAAATGTCTGTTAAATTGCATGGCCAGGACCCCAGGCTTGGGTCACAGTCCCGCTGTGGCATCTCAAGTGGCCTGGACTAGCACCTGAAATGGACAGGTACCCTAAGTCCCTCAGCAGTCCTAATGACACTCGGGAAAGCGTCTGGCAGGCGAATGAGCCAGTTGACCCGACTTTGTGGTCTTAGGGGTTTTCCTGAACAGCTGATTCAGGGCATGTGATCAGAACCACTTGGAGCCTTGAGGCTTTCTACCGTATTCTATCGTATCGTATCATATCATATGGTATATTTCTCACATCCCTAAGGACAGCACTGCAGAGTAAGAGGGGCCTGGACCCTGTGGAGACTAATTCACAAGTATTCCCAATGACAAAGACAGCATGGACCCTTTCTGAAAACCTGTCCCGGAGCGGCTTGGCCTGGAGGGCTCTGACCAGAGCTGCCCATTCTGTCCACACTGTCCCACTTCTATAGGGACAGCGTTCCCCTCACTCCCAGGAGAGAAACCCAGGCTGTCCCTTTCCCATGATAGCGACAACACAGCAGCCTCGGCATGCGTGACGGTTTATTGGATTTGACTTCATAGAGTTGTTCTTTACTGGCCAGGGAATGAAAGATGCAGGGAAGACAGATCAGAGTCAAAGGCACTTGGAATGTTGGGATGGATGAAAAGAGGTTGTTCTGACAGTGACAAGCCCATGTCAAAGGCTTACAAAGTGTGTACCCAGGAAGCATGGCCTCATTCAGCAAATACCTGCCCATGTAGGCATCACTGGGCCTAGGCCTTCTGCTGTCCTTCTATCCCCAACATCTTCAGGACCTGGCCGCCACACTCAGTGGGCTGAACACATGTGAAGTTCTGTGCACACAAAAGTGACCAAAAAAAAAAGGGACCCAAGTATTGGGAGAGGGTATGCTTGTAGCCTTAGACAACAGCTCCACACTGCAATGTGATGGCCCTGCTCTGAAGACCACTGGACCCGAGGATTAATGTGAATGTTTGGCTCTGTGAGCCCAACCTGGCTTCAGGACTCTCCAGGGCAGTGTCTGCTCTTGGAGTCTCTGTGCACCACAGAGTGAAGGAAGAGGAAGTGGTGGTCCGCACAGCTGGAGCCTGGGAACTGTTCAGAGGGAGCTTCAGTTTCCTCAGACCCTGAGCCAAGGACAGAGACAGTCCAGGAGAGGAAACAGGATGCTGGCTCCCAGGAGGGCTGCCCCCACGGCCAAGGCCATGGGCTCCTCTCTACTTCTACCGCTTCTTCTTCGTCTCCTTCTTTGGCCTCTTGTTGGCGGAAGGAACAGCAGCCTTGGGCTTCTTCAGTACCTCTGCACCTCTGGCCTCGGACTGCTCCGCCTCCTGTGTGGTGAATTTTTAAGAGAGAAAGTTCTGTTTAGAGGAATCCACCTTGACCAACTGAAGCATGCCACAGAAACAAGGGAAGGATTATTACCCAGACTAGATTCTGAAAGTACAAGGCACCAGGTGGCATCTGGGCTCCTTTACCTCCCAGTTCAGTGGCCTGTGAGCGCCTCAGTCCCATGTCTTATGTGTTAAGATGAGAACAGTGACAGACAGGAGGTGAAGTCACATGGAGCACCAGCAGGGTTGGTGACACCCAGTGGCTGTCAGGACGTCCCATGCTAGGACAGCATTAATGAGTGTTGGCTGTGGGGAGGCTGCCAAGGTTAGCACATCTGGTGGTTACTCTCCCCCCTTGGCTGGCAGGTGGGCTAGCACTACACTATGTTCTGTAGAGTCTGGCAGGGGTGCCCTGGGGGAGGGCAGAGGCAGCCTCAGGCTGGAACCCCAGATTCTCAGCAACTGGGGCAGCTCCATTCTGCCTGTTTCATACCCTATGATGCATCCCTTGGAAGACTGGGCTGAAACAAAGGTTTTGCTGCTGAAAAGAAAAGAAGAGTTCAAAGTCACAGATCTAGGTCTGGCCCTCACTGTGCAGATAAAGAAGGTGAGCCCCAGGAGGGGACAGGCCTGCCCCAGGCCACTGTACTTGTACCAGAGAAGAATCGGGAATGCTCCCATCTGGTGTTCTTTGGTATCTCTTTTGGTGATAACATGAGCAGTTTGATGGACACCAGAAGCAGGCTAGCTGAGGAAATGCCAACCACAGCTTTGGTCTGTCTGCAAGCTATACTTGGAATGCAGTGTTTATTCTTAAAAATCCATGCCGGGTGGTGGTGGGGTGGGGTGTGTGGCATGGTGCCTCAGCAGGTGAATGCAGCAATGAGCTGAGTTTGTTTGTATGTGTGTTTGTGTACATGTGTGTGCTCAGTGCCCGAGGAGGTCAGAAAAGGTTGCTGGAATGTATATTTTGTTTATACATTAACAAACTAAGCTTGCCTGAAGATCACAGTGCAGAGCTAAGCCACTAGAGGCCAAGGGAGTGGTGGCACACACCTTTAATCCCAGGACTCGGGGAGACAGGGGCAGAGGGATATCTGTTAGTTCAAGACCACCTTGGGCTACACAGTATTGAATCTATCTAAAAGAAAAACAGACCTCACACAAAGGTGATCCCAGCACTCGGGATCCCATGCCTTTAATCCAGCACTAGGGAGGTGGAGACAGGAGTGAGATGGTTGGGTGGAGAGAGAAATACAAGGCAGAGACAGGAACTCAGTGCAGTCTGAGGTTTGGTGGAGACAGTTGCAGTCTGAGGCTCACGTGTGCAGTCAGAGGACGAAGTCTGAGGAGACAGTCAGAGGACAGGATCGCCCCTTCGGTCTGAGCATTGGTAGAAGTAAAAGGAATCTTTAGTGGCTGGCTGCTCTGTTCCTCTGATCTTCAGCATTAACCTCTATATCTGGCTCTGGGTTTTTATTATTAAGACCAACTAGAATTCGTGTTACATTGGATCTCCTGGAACTGAGCTACCTATGGCTGTGAGCCACCAGGTGAAAACTGAACCCTCTGCAAGAGAATCAAGAGCTCTTAACTGCTAAGATATCTTCCAGCCTCCAGCCTCTTTGATCTCAAGTTAAAATAGAAAAATCAAAAAGCAGACTAAGGCTACATCCTTGCTCTGGAAGGCAAAGAGGTTCCCCTTGAGTGAAATGGTGCAAGAAAGAAACCCATATGCCACTTCTCCGTGGGTTCCGGGCAAGGATTATTCCACACCGCCAAGGCTGTCTCAGGGATTTCTTGGGACCAGACACCTCTGTGTGGAGCTGGCTGAGCCCGGGTTCCAGCTTATTTTATTTTCCGGCATTACTCCAGCCCCCAGGGGCCCAGCCTCCATCGTGCGTGCGAGCAGAGGAACTGCAGCTCAGGGACTGGATCCTACAACAGAGGCCCAGTCCAGACCTGGCCAACTCCCCCTTAGCCAGAGGGCAGGTGCGAAGGCTGCCCCTCCCCACCAAGTCTCAGGACTGGCGGCTGGGCCTCCTCTGTCCAGAACTCACAATGGAGTACAAGGTCTCCCAACGCTATTATTTATGTAAACTGGCCAAGAAATTAAAAAAAAAAAAAAAAAACAGAACAAACAAAATGAAACCTCAGAGGAGGGCAATTTTAAAATCCAATATCACACCACCACCACGCCGGCCCCAACACTGCCTGTAGTTAGCGTGACAGGTCCTGTGTCATTCATTTAGACGAATGCCAGGATGGGCCTCAGGATATAAACAAAGGAACCAATACCCAGAAAGGACCAGGGCTGGCCTGAGCTCTCGGCTGGTGAGCTGCAGAGCCAGCCCATGCCTCTTACTGCTTCCGTGGTAACTATGAAATCTATTTTCTTCACTTGGGAGCCCCTCGTGCCCCATTCTGGACCTATGAGACTACTCTGTTCTAGATTCTGCCTGTTCCTTCCTTGTGATCAGAAGTCCTGGAGGAGCCGGGAGAGAGGGTAAGTGCTACAGTGATGTGTGCTTTGTGGCTGACGCAGGCCTCTGTGGGTGTGCACGCTCTGTAGCCATCACGTCTGAACATATTAGCAGCCCCCCCCGCCCACCCCCACCTCAGCTTTTGGCACTGCTACCCATCTAGCTCGCAAGGCATTTCTGAGCTCTTACTGCTCCCTCTGATGGAGATGCCCCCACCTCCATCTGTCCCCAAGGCCTGTTTATTCTACTTCCCAAGAGGTTGCGGGTTTTGCTCATCCCAGCCACACACACAACTCAATGCCCATTGGGACCCATGGCGTCTCGGCTACTCCGGGTTTTGCATCCTCCCCTCGCATCCTCCACATTGCTTCTAGTCCGTTCTCTAAAATGATGTAAACAGTCACGATTGGGCTGGTTTTCCAATTTTAAAAAGACCCAGTGTGGCTTCTGAGAGGCAGTCTACTCTAGCCTTGGCCTTGTCTGCAAGCAGGCCCCTCACTCTGGGCCATGGGCACTGCTTCCTGGCATCCACTTGTTGCAGAGGTACTGGGTACTCACTGTCTTTTTATGTGTGGCCGCTGTAAGACGCCCTGCACTCACCACAGGGGGTGCAGAGTGGTCAGTATACTCCACTCACTTGCTCACTGGGCCTTACGATGACGAGGCAGCCACTAGGCCTCATTTACTGGTAGGGACGCCAAGGCTCTGACACTGGGACCTTCTAGGCCAGGCACAGGGAAGCAAAGCGTCTGTCTCAGTGTGATTTGGATGCTCAGGTCCTAGCACTACAGGGGTAGTTTCCACTCTGAGCTGACAGGAATGACTGAACACATGAGTGCTTTAATTTCTTTTCAGATGTGCCTGGCTAGGAAAAGTCAGGGAAGAGCAGACTACACACCCGACAGCCTCACCTTTAAGTCTGGGGACACCACACCTCATCTGAAGTGATGACGTGATGAAGGGAAAAAGAAGCCTCCATTGTCAGGTGTTTCCTGGGCCTTTGGAGGCATCTTTTGGGGGACACAACTCCATCAATTATGAGGTGGTGAGAGAACAGCTCAACAGGCCAGCACATTGCTGCTGTCCATCAGGCCCAGGGAACAGAATCTGTGCAGGGTCAAGGGAGAAACACTAGGCTCGCTCTCTCCACTGTGCGGCTCCATGGGGCTGTGCGCCTGCAAATCGGGACAGAATGTCACTCAACACTGACATCCTTTCCTTGACAACAGTCCAGGGGAAGAAAAACACAGCTCTGCCCAGCTCTGCCTGGGAACCGTCTCATCTGACCTGCCAGGAGCTCTCCTCTTTTTAGGTTGGACAGAACTCAGCAGGTCAGCCTCACGATGCTGCTCTGGCCTTCCCACAGTGTCACTGAGGCCTGAGGCGGGGAGCTGGAGCAAGGCAGTGGCCTTGAGAAGAGGACAAGACACCAGCTGAAACAGGGAGTGGGGGAGGCTGTCCATAAGGCTCAACTCTGGCAAACAGATACACAGCATCCAAGCTGCTTGGTTGGCAGTGGAACTGTGATTAGAAAACAGTTGGGAGGGGGGGGGGGGGGGGGGGGGGGGGGGGGGGGGGGGGGGGGGGGGGGGGGGGGGGAGAGATGGGACACACAACAGGCGGAGTAAAGCACTTGCTGCAGAAGCAGAAGGACCCATGTTCAGATCCCCGGTACCCATGTAAGAAGTGGGGTGTGGCAGCACAGCTGTTAGCTCAGCATTAGGGAGGCAGAGACAAGATGTCTAGGGCTTGAGTACATACACACGCACGCACACATACATACACACGCACACCAGTCCCAGAAGCTCATTCTGACATACTCTGGCAGGACTTTACAGGTGCTTCCCACTGGTTAGCCTGTGGGTGCTATGTGTCCAGTCAACCCTCACATGAGCTGGCACACACTTGCAGCCTGGTGCTAGTGGGAGCAGAATGAGGCCCTCACCTTGCCCACCACACAGCGCTCTCAGGAACAGGTCATTAAGTCAAGCACACCTGCCTCCCAAGCTGCAACAATATGGCAGAACCAGAGCCGGCTCTATTAGCCAGTCCCTGGATGCTAGGACTGGGCGTGTGTTATGGTGGCCCTCATGGGCAGGGAAACTCCGTTCCTCTACAGAACGTTGCACAGGGCTCTGGCACTCTGGGCCATTATCCCAGAGCTCAGGGAAGGAAGTGCCATCTCTGTGGGCAGTACATTAAATGCTCCCACACTCACTATTCTGGTGAGCTGCCCAGAGGAGCGCGTGGTCATGTAGAGCCTCCATGAGACTTGTCATCCCTGGATGACAGGATGTTGATAGCAACCATCCTCCTTACACACCATGGGGCCTGAGAAGGAAGTCAGTACTCCCTGGGATAGGCAGGAGCTCGAGAGACAGACGGCTCCAAAGACTCTACGCTTCCAAGTCCACTGTGCCTCGATTACCATGTCAGCTGCTTGCTGAGTCTTCACTAACACAACAGACCTGGACAGGCATGAGCAAGCAAAGCTGCCTACCTTCTACGCTCTGG